ACTTTTTGCATTCTTAACTACACACTGTTCATTCTGATTGACCTACAAAGTAGTAACTATTTTCTGCTATATTTCACCGGTGCAGCATCCGTCTTAATGGTCCAACAAGAATTGGAAGCATAGTAGTTTTCCATTTGCCTTGATCTAACTTTTTCATAGCAAAAATCTCCTGTTGAAAGCGTTCCCCGTGTTCAGCACTCACTGTGGCAAGAGTTTATGGAAAGAAATCTAGGTGAGAGTGCAGGAATTGTACTTTTATGTACATACTATAACCCAAAATTTTAAAAGATGCTATGAGAGAATTGACAATATTTTGGTAATTTTCCGCTTTTCGGTTTCCCCAAAAAACGCAATTGATCCTCAATCGATTCATCATGCATTGATGACCATATTTGTGAACCGACAAATATTTCTTCTTTAATTTTAATTTCTGTTCCAAGTACATAAAACCAAGAGTGTTGTCCACAGCTTTGACGAAATTCTTCATTAATCCTAATTTTATATGTAACGAAGGTAGTTACATATTCTGTAGGGTTTGTTCATTTTAAGAGTGTCTTTACACAATACTAAGCAATTTTCCCCAGAAAAAATTGTTTTTAAATTCAAAGTGACGATGACGATAAGTACTCGTACATATCTTTGTATTGTTTTGAAGAAGAGTCAAGTCTTTTAGCCGGGAACCAAGCATATCTGACTGTTTTTTAGATTACTTTAAATAATGTATCAGATCTTTGATACCATAAATGACGCTCAAATGAACAGCTTTGTTAAAAATATTATCACCAGAAAAATCTGTTTCTTTTTCTTTCTATCAGAATCTGAACCATCTTCCTCTAATTTCACGTTCTCTGGAGGCGTTGGTATGGGCAATTCTTCGCAGGGTGGGTCTTGTTTCATTGCAGATTTGAAGTTACGGTACATCACTGTACGTTTTGATTTTGACCCAATTCCTATAATCTTTGTTAAGCAGAAATAGCAGTCAGAGGAATGATCTTTGGGTTCCTCCTAATCATAGGGGTAGCAAATGGCATGTGGCGAGTGCCACTTTTCCACGCAGTGAGAAGCCTAGAACACGATTAACAACAGATGTGTGTGTGTATGCGCGCGCGCGCGCGCGCGTGTGTGTGCGTGTGCGTGCGTGTGCGTGCGTGCGTGTGCGCGTGTGCGCGCGTGTGTGTGTGTGTGTGTGTGTGTGTGTGTGTGTGTGTATAGAGGCGGCAAGACCTCGTTTGGTCCCTCTCTTAAAGTTCATAACACTTTTTCACTAATGGAGTCAGGTTTCGCCTTTGATAAGTAAACACATAGGATAAGTAAAATTGTTTGGATTTGTTAAACAAAATCTAGTATTTTTGACTAATTAAAATAATTAAAAAATGAGTATGTAAATATAAAATTCACAATACTTCTCGCGCACAAACCACTCACAGTGACGTGTTCACTGGTTCACAACTATTTGACTATGAATGTGTGCTACTCTTGATCACCTTTGTTTACATCTACCCATGTCAGAACCTGCACCACAGTAGCAACGCTCCCAATAGAGTTAGCTCATTTGGGATTTGATACATTTCCATTACTATTACAATGCTCGAGGTTATTTTTCTTGACAGTGGGCAAATGGACAAGAAAACGTTTACAAATATTTAAAAAATTGAAATAACAAAGAAAGTGTGGGTGATGAAATGCCGAATACATTTTTGAAACCTATATTAAAAACTGCATTAGGTACACCTCTTGGTACTTGTGAGACGGAAATCGTTTTGACCAGTGTTGTTTGCCACAAAGATAACAGTACATTCCGTGTTGTGGTTTACTGATTCAAGGTCTGTTAGACTGTAGATGCAAGTCTCCCTAACTTTCCTTTTACTCCCCGTGTACGTAGTATAGAGAAAGTAATGTAATTTAACGACAAGATTAAGGTAATAATTGAAAGAAAAAAATCAAAGCAAGTTTTTTTTAATGGAAAAGTATATTCGCTAAAGAAATAAAACAACCTGTATCATAATATTCCTTTGAGTTTTAAATTTAATCAGTCATATATGAATTGTGTATATATTAAATTCTGAATTGATTAATAATGATTCGTTTTAAATATTTTTTTATAAATTTGAAATAATTACTAACAATTTTACTTTCTTGCATTCTGCTTACTTAGTATAGAGAAAGTATTTGCAATGCTCCGCGGACAAAATGAATTTTCAACGGAAAAACTCTTATTGTGAGGCCTTGATACAGTTAAAGTGGATAAATACAGGTCCAATATGTAAAACTAGTAAATTACTCCCTTCCTCTTCCTAGTCCAAGATCGATCTATCTGATATCGTGGCTCCTTTGATTTTGAAATGGATTCTTTTTTTGGAGGGAGGTACTTTACACGAAAAAAAAGCCTTAACAACAATTTCAAAATTTTCTGAAGCATGGAACCAAATTTGATTACTAAAACCTAGGAAATAGAAAAAGTATGCCTTTTAAAATTAACTTCTTTAAAATTAGATCTTTAAATAAATCATGTACATTTTTAATGTTAATAATTTGGCGTAATTATCGCGTAATATTTTTGCAACCATCAAAACTGCAAATTCGTATTTCCCGCTCAAATGCTGGAGTATTTTACGATGTATCAGAACGCAATACGAGAGTGGCAGTTAAAAATTCTGAGAATTCCGCCTCCATGTTGGCCGATGTTAATGAGTGTATGAAAGTCTGTTTTGGATTGTGGGATTTGCGTTTATATGTATATCTTGTTGTATATTTACAATAGTTAGTTGTCGCGCCTATTGCTTTGCAATATGTAACGAGTTTTACAGATCATGGCTGAGAGGTGTTAATAAGGTCGGAAACGGCGGTATTGTAATATTACATAACCGTTCCAAATGCCAGAACGTAGTGCTGTTGTAGCACCACTAGTTGTTTTTCCCCCTCAAAAATTATTTACTATACTTTGTACATTTATACGCATCTCATTTGTTTAATTTTACATAAAAATTACATGATAACATTCGAGATTTCTTCACGCGATTCATTATTCGTGACTTTTAATTCGAAATCTTGATTTTGTGTTGTAGTTTTGTCTACAGCGTACAGTTTCGATTCCGCCAATTCATGTAGTGTTTAAAAACGCTTGCTAAATGAGCAGAGCCATTGCGTATATTCCGTTGGCAGCAAATGTGTGTTATAAAGGGGCGCTCGCGCATGGCATCGTGTGTGTGTGTGTGTGCGCGCAGGCGAAGCACGAGCTGCGGGCGACGGTGGTGCTGCTGGACGGGCGGCGCCTGGAGGTGCTGTGCGACGCGCGCGTCTCCACCGTCGACGACGTCCTCCAGGTAGGTGCGCAGCGTAATCCGCTCTGCGGTGGGAAATTCTTCTTTTTTTCCCTTCCTTTTTTCCTCTTCTTTTTTTTTCTGGAGACCTGGCAATGGTCGATCAGGGCATCAACTGATGTCACTGCAGTGACTGACCGGCACGTCCTTTGAGGGTTCGAGTTCCGGCGGTGGCTAGGTCGAATTCAGCCGCTGTCTGGGAGAGAATTCTTGCGGCCGGCTTCTTTGATCGGTAGTTGTTTTTTTGTTGTTGTGTTTTTTGTTGTTTGTTTTACGATCAACACCAGACGATTGCCGGAGCAACGCCATAACAAATGAATCACGGACCGCGCGCGATCTTTCCTTCCTTTCCTTGTCCTGTCCTCACCCCTTACTTACACACACTTCATTCACTACACTACCACACATGTCGGGAGACCGGTCGGAAGCTTGGAGCTTGTCCTGGCTGGAGGGGGGGCATGCTGATTAGAGATACCTGGTTAGGAAAAATCCCCGCAAGCCAACATAAGCCGGAGCATTTCACCAGACAACGGAGGAAGATCACTGCCACCTCCCGTGATGAAAACATGAATTACACTTGCGGGACTAATTGTCTTAGCATGTGACGCGCCCGGAATCACTAATCAATCAATACTTTTCTGCAGTTGGATCCAGGCTGGTTCAGAGTAAATGTTATACATTTCTAGGGCATGTTGGGGGGGGGGTCAAAGATCACTTCTCGCCAATAAACATTTGTTTGGAAATCTCATATGACGAAGTTACATAAGAGACTTTTTTGACATCGCACTCTGAATGTTAGGCAACTCATCGTGCACTGCTTGTTGGCAGGAAGCTGAACTCTGTTAATGGACAGGCCGTCCCATGAGAGTTTGTGTACTTCAGTGAAGGACAAGTTGCCTACTAATAAGGGGCGTGCCGTCAGAAACGCCATTTGTGTAACTTCGTTGTATGAGATTTTTCACTATATATCATTGATAAAATGGGATATTCTTTAACCCTTCTACATGCTCTTTTTTTTCATTATGAATCATCCTGAAAAGTTAAAGGTAGAGAGCGAGAAAAGAGAAGAATCAAATAGCTTTCAGAACCTAGTCGCAAAGGTTGAATATAATCCTCAACTCCAGCTCCCGCTTGTAGAAAAGGTCATTTTCTTTTCTTAGAACAAATATGTCAGGATTATTAGGTTTTTTCCCCTTATCCTTAAATGATAATTGTGAAAAGGTTGTGTGTCTGGTGGTGAAGTTAATTAACCCCTACCTTTACAAGCGCTGCTCGAATAGCTCTCAACTTATGAACTCGGATTCACAACACGTGTCTTCTGAATTGGTCTCTTTTGCCTGCTCAGTCTACCTTCATTTAATGCTTGCGATTTAATTTGTTTATCATTTTTACATTTGCACCTAATGGGTGCGTCAGGATCGGACATGCAAATTATTGCAAAGAGACCACTTAGTAATTTATAAACACGAACATTGTCAAATTAAATTTTAATGCACTCAAATATAATGTTAGAGGTTACTAATCCCGTCTAAAAACATCGATGGTTTTTAAGCGCGACGTATCGATGTCGCATCACTAGTCTGAAGTACACGCGATGTTCACTGGTTTCCCGAACTCTTCCTGTGCTCCTAACCTACTGCTGGTGCTGACTGGATGGCGCTGGCGCGCGTGTGTGCGCAGTGCGTGTCGCGGAGCGCGGTGCTGGAGGGGCGGCCGGTGGCGCTGGCGACGTCGCTGTGCGGGGAGCTGGTGTTCCCGCCGCCGGCGCTGAAGCTGGCGCGCCTGGCGCGGCTGGCGCCCGTCGCCTGGGTGCCCCGCGCGCCCTCCGCCCACCCGGCGCCGCCCGCGCTCGCCGTCACGCTGCTCGTGCGCGTCTGGCTGCTGCTGCCGGCGCTGCCCGCTCTCAGGTGAGGCCTCGCTCTCTGAACGAAACCCTCTGAAGCGGCCACCTCTGTTAAGCGGGCGCTTCCAATAACGACCACTTTTGTCTTGGATTCGGTTGCTTTTTTTCACTGAACGTGTAAAAATTCCTTCTTTTATTTCAGCGACCAACGGCCGGGCATATCTCTTAAATTGATATGTACTAAGCGGTCACCTGTAGCGAGTTTTGAATTCTAATAATATAAGAAGCGAAAGGGTGGTAGATATAGTTTTCATAAAATACAGTCCTATTACAGGACGCATAGGCACATTACTTCGAACTTAGTGTCTACTACTACTACAAGTGTAAGAGTTAAAAACAAAACTGACTGTGCTATACGAAATGATCATGTGTGCCAGAACTTCTAAGAGATAGGAAAAATTAAGGGTGAAGGTATCATGTTAAGAGTCGTCGAAGAATCCTTTATTTGTACTTTTATGTATTAATTTTTAAAGAATTGAATTCCCTAACCATCTAAAAATTCATCTGTTAAATTGGAGAGGGTTGAGATTGCAGAGCAAAGACTAAATGTTTCCTTGAAAAATATTCTATTTTTTTGCTCCAGTTTCTAACTCGACGAGAAAAGGAATTAATAGTTAGTGAGCATTTGAATCAGGCTGTAGGCAAACTATATTTACGCCGCAACACACAATTTTGGACATCATTAATATGACTAATTTTCTATATAGCTTTGGAATATCTGTGACGTATATCGATAGGGGAAAAAATATCAAATTCTTACACGTTTTTGCGATATTACATTAGTATCCCAAAGGTTACTACTACTGACAAATACAAGCAACTAGCAAAACTTTTTTTTTTTTAAATAACATCGAAAAAAGTTCATTTATTTCAGCCTGTTGTGGCTCAGAAACATACTTAATAGCAATTGCAATATTCATGGTAGGAGTAACCTTTTCCTCCAAGTAGGTCATAAGGTCCACCCCAGTATCCTATGTTTTAGGGCCCCCTCTAATTACCACCCTCATTTAGTTCCTCTCTGTAACTGGATCTCTCTTCTCATCTGCTCATCTCTTATTTCCTTTTATAACTTTCTTTCATTTCTCTAAAGCCTTCTAATCCTATTTTTTCTGCTAATGTATTTATTTTATCTTGTTCGTAGCCTTCCATTTTGTTGGTAACCTATTTTTTTCCTGTTCGAATTCAGTTATATATTGTTCTTAAGTTCCCCGTCCTTCCTCACACAGTTTAGTTTCTTTCTTCTTTCCCTAGCCAATATTTACTTGTTCCCGTGTTTTCGCACCTAAAGCTTGCTTTTGTTTTTGTATCCTTCCCTGGAGAAGAGTGAGATATGGGGTGTCAGATCAGGTCGATCGAGAAGAGAGACAGCGTAAAGCTTGGTGTAGCGAAAAAAGGATTTTCTAACAGACGTAGCGAATTATAATATTGAAAAGTTAATACCAATGACGTAGCGTAAAGGGGGCGGCACTTTAAGAGGGTCGCACAATTTCACAATAAATAACATCTTGTAAAAGTTTGAACCATTTATTTTTATATTTTTGTCGCACCTACCATACGGACCGATTGAAATGAGCACTGTATCTTTCATTACATATTCTATGACGATTTCTGTAAGTGTATAATATTGACATCTTGATCATTGTAGCGCAAACAACTCCGTGAATACTGACTTCTGGGATTTTATTTTGTGCTTGGATTCTTTATGAATAATATTCAGCGAGAGTGACTTATATCAGAAACAAAAGTAAAATTTTTCTTGAACCCGGGCGGCTGACACCCACGCTACGCCACTGGTTAATACTTGTGTTCACGAATAGGCTTTGATGAGACGACTTCTACCATAACCATATTTTCACAGAGGTTACGGTTCTACCCGGGAAAATCGCAGTGTTTGAACATTTTCACATTCAATTACGAGTACATCGATATCCATTAGTACAGTATTGGGTGTTTATAAGTATTGTAAAACTAGTAGCTTGTTGAAAAAAAGACTGCTAAGAACGACACATTAAAACAGTATTAAAAACAATGTTATTTTCTTTGCATTTGCTTTCCCTTTTTGTCATCTTTAGGATCTCTCAATTTAAGGCGAAAACTCTTTAATCTGTGCGTAATCTGGGAGTTTGAGCTGGCAATTCGCTGGGTTGCATAGTTGACAACCAAATCCTAAAGCTATTGAAATTGTTTCGCTCTTAGAGAAAAAAAAACACCTTCGGCTCTGCATATTTGTTGCGGTCACGATCTCACGTACGATATGACACGGAAACTCCGTGTTCGCGTTCTCGAACGTTTTATAGAAGAAGCAAAAGTCGATCCTTAAAATATTATGCAAATTACAGATCTTCCTAAGGTCGACTGTGTAAAATGGGGGTCCTATGGGCAAAAAGACGACGCTCTGAAACGTCCCACGTTAAGCTTCTATTTTCCTCGTGCAAGACGTCAGTTTGTCTTAATCGGTAACCTCAGGTAAGAGACATTTGGGAATTAACTCAATCAAACATTTACATCTTTCAGTCAAAATGAAAATTTTCATTGTTTTTATATCCCCCCCCCCCCGAGTTTCTGGGTATCTGAAGAAAGCGTTGTCACTTCTCGCTTACGTCCTGAGGCTCCTTAGTTTTCCGTCAATTCATGAGAGTATTCGAAAGTGGTAGTAGAGAGAGAGCGCAGGCTTCCGCGGCCGGAGTTAGTATTTACTAGGCTGTCCGGGTGACGCCGCGTCCATGGCGAAGGTGCCGACGTTTCGGTCGCCATTCTGCGACCTTCCTCAGAGCGTAACGCCCTGAGGCCGCTTCCTGAGGGCGTAATGGCCCCCATTACGCCCTGAGGAAGGTCGCAGAACGACGACCGAAACGTCGGCACCTTCACCATGGACGCGGCGTCGCCCGGACAGCCTAGTGAATAGAGAGCGCGTGAGTTGGAGTGTGAGTTCGCAGTGCGTAAGTTGCGTGCGTGGTGTGCGCAGCGACGCGTGCGGCCGCCGGCTGCTGTTCCTGGAGCTGCGGCGGCGCGCGGCCGAGGGCCGCCTGCGGGGCTCGCGCGCGCAGCTGCGGGCGCTGAGCGCTCTGGCGCGGCGCGCGGACGCCCTGCGCGAGGACCACGCCCACGACGCCAACGCCCACGGCGCCAACGCCCACGGCGCCAACGCCCGCGGCGCCTCCGGACGGGTAAGAGCGCGACGTAATCGATTTATTGCGCCTTTTAGGGAAATTAGGGCTCCAAAGAGGAAGATGCGAGACAGTGAGCCGGGCTTTTATGCTGCACCAATGTTGGTGGACAGGCGGTGGGACCGAGGAGGAGAAGTTCGACGCGGTGGGCATGCAGAAACACGTTTAGCAGTTCACGACACTCCCAATCTAAACGGTGTCTAAGAAGGAAATAGGATGTTGGAAAACTGGAAAAAATAACAAAAACACTCACCGTACTTGTAATTGAAAACTTGTACTCGATATGAATTTATTGCATTTTCTATTAATATTATTATAGTTAGTAATTGTTATGAAAATACATTCTATTTGACTACTACTTCCTTCATAGAAACTGCTTCTCAAGTTCTGAAACTTAATATTCGAAAGCAGATATTCAAAGTCTGTGGTAAACAAATATACTAGTATTTGGGTCTTGTGAGTACTCAGTAGCTTCAGAGCTGAAATATTTACCTCGCGAGTATATATGGAGTTGGCTTTATTGCGATGTGGATGAATTGCGATATAGTATCAGTGAGGACGTGTTTTTTTTAATATTTAATCCACATCTCCGCAAAATGTTGTTGCAAACATTACAGTCTTCTTTTGCTTTCTTTGAGTTGCCACGTTTGCGATGACTATCAAATATAAAAATGTACACTTACAAAAAATAATCTAGTATAGGCCAAGCAATATTTATTTTAAAATTCATTAACAAATATTTTATTAACGTAGTTTCATATTGTGTAAATTTATTTTGGTTATGTATGTTAGATTTCACGTATTAATTCCCTTTTTACATATTCTTATTGTTTCCATTACATATTTATGTATATATTTTTCCGTTTCATACTGCGTATTTTTCTGGACTCTACTTATAATACTTCAGTAGTGAGCAGGCGCGGATCCACGGGGAGGGAAATAAATGTAATTGTTCAGTAACTATTAATTTTATTTTGTCACGAAACTTTCATGCAAAAAAAAGTTTTCGGATAATCATTGAAATGAATAAAAACATATTGCAGAATGAGCTGAGTGTAGCCTGCGACATTTCACAAAATCTGTAATGGTACCCATTCGGCCGAAACGTTTTGAATTTCCGCTCCCCTAACGCGTCTCTGGTCCGCGCCTGGTCGTGAGCGCGTGCGTGTGTTGGGTGCGCAGGAGGCGGCGGCGCGGCGCGCGGAGGACGCGTTCGTGGCGGCGGCGGCGCGGCTGCCGCTGGCGGGCGCCCACCTGCTCGACGCCGTCTGGGTGAGTGGACGCCCAGCACCGGCACAGCGCATGCGGCTCAGGAGGACTGGGTCATTGCTAGTGCATGTCGCCGTTTGGTGTTAAAAATAATATTCCCTCTTGCCACGTTGAAAACCGTTCATTGCTTATCACTAGGGGCGGATTTTAATGAAATGTCATCTTTTTTTCTTTTCACTTTACAACAATGCCGTTCAGTGTAGAAATTCATTTTATGTTATGATAAAACTAAATAACTCATTTTTATATGTATTTTTTACATTTTCGTCAATTTTGATTAGTGAGTCATTTTTTACCTTTTTACGTCATTTTTAATGTGTTTTTTTCGCTGCTTTCATCGATTTTAATCTCATTTGAATGGTACTTGCTTCAAACAATATTTTCGAGGTGCAACAAGTGTTCACAGAATTCCTAAGTAGCCTATTCGCTTTCTTCGCTCAGTATATTGTAATGTAAGCCGTTGTGAGTACTATGTAATCTAAGGTTCCTGTGATGCCTGTCGGCGCCATTGTCGGTTCGGCCGATTTCGTGATAAAGGCAGAGATTTTCTTTTAAAGAACAGTCCAAACAAGAAGTTTGCAGGTTGAGTTCATTTGAACAAAAGGAAGAAGCGTCGTTTACATGAGTGACATACCCAACAGCTTGAATTGTTCATATGAAGCAGTTTTGATCAAATTTTTTACGTAATTTTTCTTTGTTTGTTGGGCATTTTAAAGCATTTTAAGAGCATTTTATTAATCATTTTTGGCAATGTTTTAGGTCATCAAAATCCTCCCCCTTCTAATCACGGTCTCACTACTTGCGTTAGATATTTGTTTGGCCTCCTGCTTCGCCGAAATCCCACAAAGTTTACTTTCTCTGGTCTCTCTCTCTCTCTTTGTTGATGTAAAGATATCCGTTGTATCTATTAAACCCCACGTCTCTGCTGAGTGCAACTTAGGCAAGTATCTAGACCTAGCACGTCTGCCGAATATAACACCCCATCCTAACAGAAATGGATGCTTTTGAAGCAGTCAATATTATTCTACTAAAATAAATATATAAGCTCCTTTCAGAACTTAAATATGATCTGGGTTGTCCCAGATCGACGGGACGTGAAAGAGCCAATGACCTGAACTTAAATGTGCAATTCAATGAAAATATTCTTACAATTTTGAATTAACCGTCAATCTCATTTGTCTCTTCGATTAGATGTTTTACAAAATGTAAAACTTTGTGCGTACTTGAATCGGGTACCGCAAATTACCGTTTTTACTTGTATTTTGGTTTACAGAAGCACTGAAATGGTTGGTTGGTGAAACATGAAATGAAGCCAGAGCAGATCCTGCTCGAACAATTTAAAGAATCATTATTTTGCCTCATTTTCTAAATATTCATGGCTCATATTTCTTCGTGGTAACTCATAATGTTTTGAAATTATTATTTTATTTCTAAAGATTTCTTTCCTAATTCATGACTAATTTTCATTGTAATGTTACATTTTCACTGATTTGTATAATACCATTCTCCTTAGGATTGTGTTGTTGTGGGACTTAATATTGACAAATTAATGTTAAATCATATGATATTGAACATAAACTTTTAAAATCACAGATGTTTTTGAGATCTTCAGAAAGGAAATATCACTCCGTTCCAGATCTCAGGTACAGGTCATCGATATCTTTTTTTTCGTCCTTGAAGTGAAAATTCTTGCTTAGTGAGTGTAAATCATAAACCACCAATCTCCTTAGGTGGTAGGATCTCTAGAATTACACTGTTCAATAATGAAAGTGTATTAGATGGTTATTCCAAAGTCAAAATAGCAAGAGCAGAAAATCGACTCCAAAAGCCCGATCGCATTCACGCATTAACCATGTATCGACTATGGCCCACCAAGGCAGATTAAGCTCTGAGTAATTGGGCGAAATCAATAACTGTCATGTAAGCGTGTATGCCTATTATCTCTACTTTGTACACTAAGTAACCAGTTAACGAGCTCATAATGGTAATACTTTATTTGACATGACTGTCATCCATTTGAGAGAGATTCGATCATGTTTATTCGTTCGAACGTACAACACGAGGATGAGGTAGTTGTAATTGGTTCGATGTTTCGAAAGAGCGTAATAGAAGCAAGGGTCTATCGATTTGGGTTTTTCATCTTCTTAGAATCAAACTATTGCTGACAATTGTATAAGGAATTTCATTCCTATTGACGCTCATCTGTCTTTTTATATTCGAAAATTTTAGCTGTTGAAACGCCCTTAAGCCTTAGTCATCATCATCTATCCAAGAACTTGGATAGTATTAATGAAATTAGATTAGAGCAATGTATCCCGTTTTGCACCTTGTCAGGAATTCATTATACAACATGTGGAGTTTGTTTTTTGATATCTTTCTCTCTATTTGTAAATCATTGTATCGTACTGTATGTAATGTAAGAGCATTTTTTTGAATTTGCCCATTAACATGCAACCAAGCTTTTTCTGAATATGTTAACTATTGACGATTCATCGAAAGCTCCGCTTACACACTTTAAATGTCTCTAAAGTAGTTGTCTCTTTACTTGTGTATAAGAGCAGAATCAATGCGATAAAATTGGAGTTACTGATGACCTGTCGCACGAATCCATCAATTCTAGTTCCGATCAAGACCTTCGCCATGAGGCACAGCCCGAATTGTATGGCATATATCAGGATAAATGAGTGTTCATTTTTTTTTCTTGGACATATCATTCTTACTAGGCGGAATTACACCAAATTAATATCCAGTACCTTGATTGTTAGGCTCTCCCCAACTGCAAATTGTATACATCAACCTTTTGCGTTCACACACGCATTGATTTGGGGCAAACATACTTTTACGAATGTGTGATGCTCGTTTTTTGCCCTGATCCCTTATCTTGCAGTCAGAAGATAAGAAAAAAGGCTTTGTCGTAGATCTGTAGTCACATACCTCCCTGAAGCAAATTTGTCATCTCGGCATATGTAGCAGAAATTCTCTGGGCTCTTTACGCACTGACGGAACTTTATTCTATTTGTCTACAAGAGCAGAATGTCAACCAACAGAAATTCTCATGGAAGAACTTCCCTGCGCATCAGCAAAAGCACCATCTATTCTTAAAACTGAAAACCAATTTGGACTTCACCACAACGTAAGTGAAATTTATTCTGTGAGACTACCAATCACGTGTCGACTTTGTGCTAGAGGTTCCTGACAACTGAGTTAACATGGGGATCCAAAGTAGCCTCGTGAGGCTAGGGCTCCCCTGGCGTCACAACCATAAGAGCTATGGGCTCCGGAGACTTGTGGACAGCAGGTAGCAACCCCTAACGCCAGTTATTTGTCAATATCTACCTGAGAGGCGCTTTTTCATTGGCACCAGCTATGTGAACTGGAACATCTCAGTGGAAAACTACAACAATTATCCAATTTTTTGTTAAAAACGTCGTAATTTGTTGTTATATCGTGGCTGTAATGAAGAAACTTGAGCTAAGCTCGAAATTTCAACGGCACTGTCAAAATTCGTAAGCCCAAAATAGGCAAAGTGCGCTTTCAATGATGTCACTACAGTGCCTTTGACAGGAGAGCCTAATATTTGAGTCCCAACAGTGACAGGATTTTGGGCACTAGCTAGATAGCTACATCGAGTTCATTGGCTGTCTGGAGGGGAATTGTAGCGGCCGGCTGCTCCGATCGGTAGTTTTCCGCGGGTGTTCTCACCAGTACCAGGCAAATGCCGAAGCAGTAAC